TGATTATTTGATTTGATGAAGAGCCATATTCAAGGTAAAACAAAGACTTTAATGAGCCAGAGCCCAGTCATGGAAAGAATACTGAACCAAAAGTCAGAAGATCAGAGTTTTGACCGTCTCAATTCTGTCATCTGCAGCCTTTGGCTAGGTGTCAGTTCCTCCTTTGTAAGATAAGGGGGATAACACTTCTGATCTCTTGTTGGGTGCTGGGTGGCAGGCTCAAAGATGAGGCTGACTGTTAAAGAAATTTGAAAAGCTTTTGAGTCCTTTAAAATATGTAGTATATAAACTGGCTAGATATATGTGTGTTGTGTATATAACCATCATTGCTTCAAAATATGACCCTGAGGCTTTACCACATTATTAAAAAAAAAAAAAAAAAGGATGAATTCTGTTCATTGAACTGTACTTGAGGCACAAAATGATCCTGAATGTTTTAGGAAGATTTTCAGCAATAAGAACTGAAACAGAAGCTTTTTTTTTTTTTTTAATATAACATTTTACTAATTACAAAGTTCCTTAAAGGCACAGTCCGTGTCTTATCTGTCATTTTTGTGCCTGTCAGCATCCAGCATGAAAGTCTAGGATAACTGCTAATCATTCAGGTTTTTTCCCCACTGAAATTCAGGCTTTAGATCCAGAAAACTAGTTCTAGCTGGGTGATCACTCTGGATCTCGGTTTCCCGGTTTACTATAAAAAGAGAGGAATATGTTAAATGGGTAACAACGCCCACCAGATGCTTAATAAAACAGGCACCAGGCAGAACTTGGTTCTCTGTCTCATTTCCTGAGTGCTGTCGCTGGAGGTTTTCCTGACTGGCTAGAGGTATTCTCCTCAGTCAGTGAAGAGGGACCCTCCTCTTTGTCTAGGTACCTGTTTTACATGGAGTGTGTAAGATGTAGCTGGAGGCTCGGTCTAGAGAGTTTAGATGCCTGCCATTTATACTTGGGCCTCTGAGCACGCCTTAACCTCAGAGTGAGAGGATGAATGGGGTACTAGTGAACTTGAGAGCAGGAGGAGCTCATCAGATGCCCACAGGGGCTAGTCAGTGACATGCTTGAGTCAAGCAGATGGGGTTTTTGGACAGTAGGGGTTTGGGGAGGCTGAGGTGGAGCTAGAGGCCATGTATGTATATGACCCTATCTAATAAGGCCCCGGGATTTTCAGAAGCTGGAAATCAGAATTTCTGTATGAATCCTTTTCATTTTAAGATGTTGACAGTTAATTTCTTTTTTTTTTTAAATTGTAAAACAAATGTACCACATGGATGTAGAACTCAGTAGTGGGCCCTTTGTGGCCCATGGGCCAGCAGGTAGCAATCCCTGCTTTCAAACAGGAGGGACAGTGATACAGCTAATACAGAAGGAAAGGACTTGCCCTCCTGACCAGCTGTGGAGACACTATAGTAGAATTGCCTTCCTGCTCTGTCTGAGTGCCACTTGCTTTGTCACATGCTACCTGCTACTTTGTCCGTCAGCTTTGCACCAGCCCTTGCTGAAGATGATGGCATACTTCTCGGTGCATTTATTCTATGGCAGAAGACGCCAGTGATGAGGGATTGCCAGGATACCTCAAGGGAGAATTGTTTTTCCTTGTAAGTGTCCAGGGGTGAAAGAGTGGCAGGTTAACCCAGTGTCCTGAGCCTCTTAACTGCTGCTCACACAGCATGGGGCACCTCCCCATAGTCTTCATGCCTCCACCAACCTTTCAATCACAGCAGCCACCCTTACCTCAGCCATTCAACTCAATTGAGTGTCATTCAAAGGACACTCAACTGTGTACTCTCTCTCCCCAGCCAGACAGCCAAGCCCTTCTGCACAGATTCAGAAGACCCGTGGGGAGAGCGTGCTGGCTCCTCATTCCACATCACTGGAATATTCTGGGTTCTTGCCCCAGCCCTGCAGCTGAGTCGCTGGGTGATTTAGGGTACATCATCGCCCCACACGCCTGCCCCCTTGGCCCTCAGGTGTCTCCTCTTCACCTCTCATTTCATGGCCAGTCAATGGTCTGAATCAGTAGCTGGGGAGTGGTTGATTCCATCCCAGTTACACTTACCCACTTCTTCTAAAGGGGATGTTGTTTACCTGTTCCTTTCAGAGTCTGAGCAGATTGGAGCACTTCCCTCCTCCAGCTGGGCCGCTCTCCACTTTCTGAGCCAAGGATTGCTCAGCTCTGGATCAGCGACCAGCCTACGGGGTCAAGGAACCAAGGAGAAGGAGGGGGCCACCTCCAGTTTAACACCTTTCTCCTCAGCTCACGGTGGTGTCACCTCTCTTGGCTGCCTGTGCTGGGGGCTGAGTCAGCCTCAGCTGCCCACTGACTCCTCTGGGCTCTTTAGCAAGGCCTCAGGGTCATGGGCCAGAGAAGGTCAGGACTGAGTTGGGGAACAGGAGTCAGGTACCCCTGGATTAGCAAAGCTCTTTGAAGGAAGAAGATGCTGCTGTGATGGAAAACCATGACCCTCCCTCCTTGTGGGGCTCCCTTGATTTCGTCTGTTTGGAACTTGGCCAGGAGGGTCTCAGGCTTGCCCTGCCAGCCGGTCCAGAGCCCTTCTCCAGTCAGGATTGGGTCGCTGATGATCTGACCCTGGTCTGGCTGGCGCCAGGGAGCTGTGGTTGGGGCCTCTCTCTAGGCTAGAGAGCAAGGGCCAGTTTCTCCCAGGGCATCTCAGGACATCATGTGCTTGCGGACTGGCCAGCGGCCAAGGTTTAAAGATGCTGGTTTTAAGGTTTGAAGAAGATTCTGTTTTCTAGTAAGGCATTTACAGTCTTCCTGGGGTTTGGGGGTGGGGAGGGGGGACAGAGCCTCGGTGCTTTAGCAGAAGGCTGCTGTGGAAGCCTTTCCCTGGTGGTGGTTACTCCAGCACAGAACAAGGAAAAGGAGACCTATCAGACTTTGGGAACCAAGACAGAGGGAGGGGTAGTGGTGGGTTGAGTTTGTGGATTACAGACACCTCCCCCAAAGACAAACCTTTGAGGTACACACAGCAATGGCTGGATCAAAGCCAACATGATCTGCTACTCTACTTTCAAAGTGTAAACTCAATCCCACTACTTCTTGCCATCTCCACTGCCATCCCCAGGGTGTAAACCACCATCGTTTTGCTCTCAGGGACCAGCACAACCTCCTCCGCCAATCCCAACTCTCATATCTCTGCAGACCAGTTTCCACTTGGATGAATTTTAAAAAATATGAACCAGACATTTCCATTTAAATGTATAAACCCTCCTACGACTTCCTCTCATACCTGGACTACAAACTGGAACTCCTTCCTGCTACTTAGAAACAGGGACCTGGTCCTGCCTGTAGTCCCTTCATCAGGGACCATTCTTCCCCTCATTGGCATTGCTCTATACTGAGCGGCCTCTCCGACAATGAGAGCCTTTTCCATGCGGCTTCCACCCCATGGGCCACCTCTCCCGAATTCATGCCTCCCCCAATCTTTCATTCACAGTGGCCACCCCCACCTCGGCCATTCCCCTCACATCATCAGCACCCAGTATAATTGACTCCAAAGCACTTATGAGTCTCTGAAATGTTCATTTGTCAGCCCTCACTAGATATTTAAGTTTCATGAGGCCAAGGAGCCTGAGGGTCCAAGGAGAGTGAGTGAGTGGCACATAGTAGGTGTTCAACAAAATACTTGTTGAAAGAAACGAGTGAAGAAATGAATGAGCTGCTCAGGGAACTTTGGAGAAAAAACTGTTTTATGCGCATCACTGCCAGGGATCTTTGAAGGAAGAAGATGCTGCTGTGATGGAAAACCATGACCCTCCCTCCTTGTGGGGCTCCCTTGATTTCGTCTGTTTGGAACTTGGCCAGGAGGGTCTCAGGCTTGCCCTGCCAGCCGGTCCAGAGCCCTTCTCCAGTCAGGATTGGGTCGCTGATGATCTGACCCTGGTCTGGCTGGCGCCAGGGAGCTGTGGTTGGGGCCTCTCTCTAGGCTAGAGAGCAAGGGCCAGTTTCTCCCAGGGCATCTCAGGACATCATGTGCTTGCGGACTGGCCAGCGGCCAAGGTTTAAAGATGCTGGTTTTAAGGTTTGAAGAAGATTCTGTTTTCTAGTAAGGCATTTACAGTCTTCCTGGGGTTTGGGGGTGGGGAGGGGGGACAGAGCCTCGGTGCTTTAGCAGAAGGCTGCTGTGGAAGCCTTTCCCTGGTGGTGGTTACTCCAGCACAGAACAAGGAAAAGGAGACCTATCAGACTTTGGGAACCAAGACAGAGGGAGGGGTAGTGGTGGGTTGAGTTTGTGGATTACAGACACCTCCCCCAAAGACAAACCTTTGAGGTACACACAGCAATGGCTGGATCAAAGCCAACATGATCTGCTACTCTACTTTCAAAGTGTAAACTCAATCCCACTACTTCTTGCCATCTCCACTGCCATCCCCAGGGTGTAAACCACCATCGTTTTGCTCTCAGGGACCAGCACAACCTCCTCCGCCAATCCCAACTCTCATATCTCTGCAGACCAGTTTCCACTTGGATGATTTTTTAAAAATATGAACCAGACATTTCCATTTAAATGTATAAACCCTCCTACGACTTCCTCTCATACCTGGACTACAAACTGGAACTCCTTCCTGCTACTTAGAAACAGGGACCTGGTCCTGCCTGTAGTCCCTTCATCAGGGACCATTCTTCCCCTCATTGGCATTGCTCTATACTGAGCGGCCTCTCCGACAATGAGAGCCTTTTCCATGCGGCTTCCACCCCATGGGCCACCTCTCCCGAATTCATGCCTCCCCCAATCTTTCATTCACAGTGGCCACCCCCACCTCGGCCATTCCCCTCACATCATCAGCACCCAGTATAATTGACTCCAAAGCACTTATGAGTCTCTGAAATGTTCATTTGTCAGCCCTCACTAGATATTTAAGTTTCATGAGGCCAAGGAGCCTGAGGGTCCAAGGAGAGTGAGTGAGTGGCACATAGTAGGTGTTCAACAAAATACTTGTTGAAAGAAACGAGTGAAGAAATGAATGAGCTGCTCAGGGAACTTTGGAGAAAAAACTGTTTTATGCGCATCACTGCCAGGGCTGCAGGCTGGGAAAGAAGGCAGAGTGGGCGGGGAGGAAGAAGGAATGGTGGGAGAGGGTGGGGGAGCTCCTCTAATTCTGTGGGGTGGGGTCACATAGGGTGGAGTCATGAGGTGCTACCCTCAGCCTGGGCTTCCTTCCAGGCCTGGCGCACCTCAATCTTCACCTTGAAAGGTTTGATCTGCAAGACGAGACTGGCATTGCCCTCCAGACAGGGTAGCTTCCCATCATCCGGGATCTCCAGGTTGAACCTCTGCAGCAGCCGGGACATGAAGAGGAAGAGCTCCTGGCGGGCTAGCATCTCACCTACGCAGGAGCGGGGTCCTGCTCCAAAGGGCAAGTAGCTTAACGATGGCGAGATGAGTTGCGTCCCCGTGGGGTCCAAGAAGCGCTCTGCGGACACGGGGAGGCATCAGCCGGGAGCCAGGGCCCGTGTCAGTAGAGTAGGGGGAGCACACGGCCCTGCCTGGGGAGCCCCAGTCTGAGAAGGTGGACAGCCTTCTTTGGGGGGGCAATCTTAGGAGAGATAAATGTCCTGCTCTCAGGTAGCCCTTAATCACACGAAGATGGAATATTCAGGAAGGATGAAAAGGTGTATTAAACAGGTGAAAATGGCACCATCCAAGAGGAGAGGGGGCTGACTTCACAGGAGACATATGCCTATAGGCCTTCTTAGGAGAGGAGGCTTGCAGTTGGTTGAAGGAGAATGGGAAACCCAGCTGTGAAGACTCTGGGTAAGTGTGGGGTAGGCTAGGGGTGTCAACAGGTCCATGTAGTGGGAGTCAGGAGTCTTCTAGTAGGAAGTCTGGCAGAAGGGAAGCAATGCTGGACAGGTGGGCACAGAGTGGGTGGCATGGCCTGGGAGGGCAGGACAGAACAGGGACTCACCGGGCATGAACAGGTTGGGCTGGTGCCACTCCTTCTCGTTGTGATGCAGTGCCCACAGGTTGACCACAATGTCTGTGCCCTTGTCAATGGTAAGGTCGCCAATGCTGCCCCAGAGAGGGAGAGGAAAAGAGGGTCTGGAGTATTGTCCTTCCCCACCTGCTCTGCCCCAAGGCTCCGCGGTCCCTACCCTGGAGAAAAGAGTCCTTTCCTCCCTCATGCCCACTCCCGCATCTTCTCCTCAGCGTCTGCCAGAATGAATATGAATCCCGCACTCTATTCCTGACTAGCACTTAGGATCAACACTATGGGTCTGTTAGGGCCTGGGGGTGTGCATACTGAGCTGGTGTGTGTGAGCGTGAGTGTGTGTGTGTGTGCGGCTTTTGGATTGGGTCGGAGCACGAGTCTCCCAGGCAGCAGGCAGCTTCTGAGGGAGGTCAGGTCGATGGGTCAGTGGGTGTCAGTGGGTATAGACACACTCATCAGCAGGGTCGTGGGTAGGATGATCGGTTGTCAGTGGTTGACTGTAGGTTCATCAGCCAGCTGGAGGGGTGAGATGCTGGAGGGGGGATCAGGTGGGTGGGTGTCCTGGGAGGGAAGGCACACCTGGAATCAATGATAGCTTTGTGGGGGATGAGCATAGGGGCCACAGGCCGGATTCGGAGCACCTCTCGGATGGTCGCCTCCAGCAGGACAAGGCGGTTCCGGTCACTGATGGCTGGGATGCGACTGAAACCTATATTCTGGTCAATGTCATCCTGGATCCTCTTCTTCAACTGAGGGCCAGAACAGGGTGGATGTTACCAGGGTATATCAGCCCAGGAGAAGCAAGGGCTTCGAAGAATCCTACTGTCACATCCAAAAGGGCCCAGACCCTTCCCAGCGGTGGCTCTACAACCCCGGCTTTGCTTGCAGAAGACGGGGAAGCTCCACCCAAGGGCCAGAGCCAACCACTGCTTGGGCAAAGGGTGCAACGCCCAGTCATCCTGCAAAGAAATCCCGAGGGTATTGCCTCTCCCTTTCTCTGGAGCAGAGGTGAGTGTGTCTGGGGTCGAGAGTCTTGGGAAGGCTGGGGTAGAGAGAAGCTCACCGAAGGATGGTGTAGCAGGTAGGCCACGATCCACTTTATCACAGAGGTGCTTGTCTCCACACCAGCCCCGAAGATGTCCCCTATGGTAGCGAGCATGTGTCTATTTGAAAGCAGCTTTGGATCCTGGTCTGGGCCAGCATTGTTATTGTCTGCATTCACCTTGGCTTGGATCAGTATGTGCAGCAAGTTAGTGATGGAGTCGCTGCTGAAGTTCTCCTGGTTGGGTGAGATTGGGAGATTATGATGAGGAAGGAGCCCCATCTGCAAGCCCTGCCATACTCTCACCCAGACTGTAGACACAAAGGCTTCTCCCACTTGGAAATGAGGGAGTGGAGTGAGGCTAGTCAGGACCCATGAACTTGAGGAAGTGGAGAAAACACTGGGCCCTCTTTAAATTTGTGGGGTGGATGGGTCCCTTCCAGGATCCTCTTCAGTTCCTCACTTCTCTACTCCTATTTACTAGTTAAGTCAGTTTTTATTGAGCACCTACTACATGCCAGGCTCTCTGCTAGGTGCTGGAGATCCTACACTCTCCAAAATGGACCCAACCCTGCTCTCCTGCCACTTTCCACCTACCTCGTCCTGTCTTCTGTCCTATCACCTACCTGACATTTTTCAAGGATTTCATTCAGCAATTCATTTCGTGTTTGAACACAACCCTTCATCTTTTCCATGGCTTTGCTGGGGAAAATCTGCAAAGTGGAAATGTTAGATTCTACCTGTCCATCCCTGGCAAGTTCCCACTCTCACCCCAACCTTCAGCCAGAATGGAAGGCAGGATAGGGACCCAGAATGGGACCATCAGTGACAACCAGGACAGTTCCAAACAAGGGAGAAAGGAGTCACCTCCACTTCCCCTTTCCCCTTCAGTCAAACATCTAGCTCTGACTGAGACTTTACTCAGTAGTAACACAGCCTTGAGTCTCAAGCCGTGATTAAGTTCCTTAACTTTTTGAAGCCTGTATTTCATCTGCATGGGGATAATAAAACCCACTTCCAAAGGGTATGCATGATGAATGCCTGTGGAGCTTTGGTACTGGCACATGGCATTTCCCAGTTGCTCAGCAGGTAAAGACTTTGCCTGCAATGCAGGAGACGTGTGTTCATTCCATGGGTTGTGAAGATGCCCTGTGGAAGGAAATGGCAACCCACTCCAGTATACTTGCCTGGGAGATCCCTTGACAGATGAGTCACGCGGGTAACAGTTCGTGGGGTCGCAAGAGTCATACACGACTGACTGACTAAACACCACCACCATCAAAAACATTATCATGTGTATTAAAATGCATATTTAAAAGCTAAACCTATTTCTGTAGAGAAGCAGCAAGGGTTTGAAGGGTCAGAGGAGGTAGAGGTCACTGTGATTGAGGCAGTCAGAAAAAAATGCAGGTCTGGAGTGATCTGTAAGAGGAAAGAACTGGGGATGCTGTCAGGGTCTGCTGAGGTCTGCCCATAGGGCCTGGCCCCATCCTCACCTTCAGCACAGGGAATATGTCCAAGAGAAGTTCCTTGCTCAGAACCTCCAGGATGCCATCATTGACATTTTGTATAGCCTTCAGGGCAGGATCCTCATTCTTGAAGGAGACGTTGAAGCAGATAAAGCTGATTATGTTGGTCACCGCCAGAGAGAGAGGCTCGGACAGATCTATGGATTCTCCGTGCTGGGTGGCCAGGAAATCACACAGTACATTGGCTTCCTGATTAACTGAGGGGAGAGAAGGGTGTAAGGGTGGGCATTGAGCCATCCCTTCACCCCTGTCTCCACCAGTTCCATCTTAATCTAAGACAGAGAGCAGATGGCCAGTAGATGGCAGCGGTAGCCAAGAAAATGTGGAATGGAGGTACCCAGCAGCGGGAAGAACCCTCTCCCTCCCCAACCCTCTTCAAGCTCCTGCAGCCCAGGGCCAGCCAGGCACTCACTGATCTTCTCTAACTTCAGGTTGCCATCCTTGAACAGGGCAAAGGCATTCAGTGCCAGCTTCCGATGCAGCTGCCAGTGGGCACCATGGTCGGCAAAGGCAATGCCCTTTTGGTTGTCTGACAGGATGTCTAGAGTGGCCTTTGGAAAGCAGGAAAGGACATAGGACTCAGACCCCATCCACCCACCCTCACCGAGAGGAATGAGGCTGGTACCTGTCGTGCAGCCTCCTTGTAGACTTCCCTGCTTCTCCCCACCCTGACTGCAAGGCCTTGGTAGGACAGAACCTACGGCCTAACACTCCCAGTTCCAACGGAGAGACAGAGTAAGGAGAAAGAACCCTGAATTAGATTTTCAGATCAATGACAGGGTGAGGCAGCTGTGATGGGATGGACTCTCCAAACTTGTAGGAGCAGAGATTGAGGACACACCAGGCCCCTGGCCTTCCCTGGGTCCTCTGGGCATGGGGGCTGCTAAAGACACAGCAGCTGAGCCCCCTTTAGTTTCCCCTTCCATTGCCAGCTGTGTGGTAACCACAGGGCCACATCAGAAGAGTGCACATGTCTTGTCCACCCAGCCTGGACTTGGGCCAAGCTGCTTCTGCCCAGAGGACCCCTAAAACTACAGAGGACCCCCAAGACCTCCCCTCTCCCATCCCCAGATCTGCATGCCCCATCTGACTAGCCGCCTCCTTCCTCTTTGCCCTGGAGAGAAGCCCAGCAGAGGTGGGAGAGGGTAGTTGGCCCAAAGACCAGGCCGACTGGCCCAAGAGAAGGAGAGTCAACCCTTGGTCTGATCAAAGATGAGCAGCCAGGGGGCCTTGCCAAGATTCAGGGGAGTACTCAGCAGCCAGGTGCTGTGTCGGAGCCCGGCAGTGTTCCTGGATGACTAGCTCCCACTCCCTTCTGCTCCCAGGAGCAAACAGAAAGCTTGAGAGCTTGAATCTTCAGCACCCTCCCTGAAAGTGCTTGCAGAGGTCAGCTCCCCTGGGCTGGAGCAGCTCGAGGAAGCTCCAGGGAAGTAGTGATCCCAGCCCTCCAAGAATCAGGGTACTTCTCCCTCACAACTTTTTGAGGCTGACCTCAGTCACTCCTTGTTTTCCATGTGAAGGCTATTTATTGAGAACATCCAGCACTGGGCCAAATGCTTTACATACACTCTTTCAGTGAATCGTGGTAGTCTAGACTCAGAGAGCTAGACTCTTGGGCTTCCCAAGTGGCTTAGATGGTAAACGACTTTCCTGCAATGGGTGAGACCTAGGTTCGATTCCTGGGTCAGGGAGATCCCCCAGAGTAGGAAGGGGCAACCCACTCTAGTATGGTTGTCTGGAGAGAGGAGTGTGGTGGGCTAGTCCATGGGGTCACAAAGAGTCGGTCAAGACTAAGCAGCTCACACTTTTACTTTTTCAGCTCGGAGAGATGATGTTGTAAGGGCTTCCTGACCCTCTCAAACCACCACTCCCACCCTGTCCCACCTCCAGAGAAACCCAGAAACTAAAATCTTCCTTTAATTCTTCCTGCTTAGTTTAGAGGCTGGGTGAGGTCTGAGGGGTCGCTCCCCACCCACAGCCCCACCAGTCTGTTTTTGGAAGAATCACAGGTTGCTGGAACTGGAGGAGCCATTGCAGGCATAGCCTTGGCTGAAGAGCTCAACATGCCCAGGGGCTGGTGAGGGGAGGGATGAGAGGCACTGCTTACCACTTTGGGACGCCCAGAGAATTCCTTGCCCTTCTTGAGAAGCACCTCCCTGGCCAACTGGTGATTTCCAATCATCACAGTAGTCTTGGAACCCAAACGAAAGGAATAGATGGGGCCATATTTTTCCTGCAGCTTGAAGAAGTTCTCGTACTGCTGGCCACGTCTGGGGAGGAACGGCAGGCTGCCCACCAGGGGCAGAGATGGAAGGCTCCTGGGGTACTTGGCACCAGAGCGCTTGGTCCTGGACCAAAATAAATAGGCAAAGGTGAGCAGAAAGACAGCCAAGAGCAGCCACATTGCGTCTGGGTGGCAGCAGGCAGGACAAACAGCTGTGGAGTGGCTTCAGCCACCTTAGGGTGCAAGAAGACCTTTTTAAGGGCTCCCCTGACCTTCACCTTGACTTTATGTTATTGCTCGCCTTGTGGAAGTTTACCCTGGAGCACAGCCAGGAGTCCTCTCCCAGAATGGGGAGGCGGGGAGGAGGCTTCTTTCAAGAGCTGGCTCCACACCAGGGCAAACCCCTAGGGGAGGGGCTAGGTAAGGGCACAGACAGCTAATCCCTGTCCCTTGCTCACTGTCCATCAATGTCTCCAGAGTGGGCCAGAAGCAAATGATATCTGGGTCAGGAATTACGGCTCGGGACTCTCTGTGCGATGAAATCACAATCAACAGACTGCTATCCAATTTATCAGCTGAGGAAAGTGAGGCCTCCCAGGGTTAGGCTTGAATAAAGTCACACAGATAGTGATGACAAGAATCCAGTCTCTCCATTCCTTGTTTGCTGCTTTTGCCAGGGGGATTGAAATCCTTGGGTTGTCAGCAGGGGCCCTAGAGTCAGATTGATGTAGGCTCAAATTCTAGCTTAAACGCTAACTATATGACTTAAAAAGTTTTAGTATGTTAAAGTATACATAGCATAAAGTTTACCATTTTGAGTATACAATTCAATGGCATTCAGTATACATCACAGTGTTTTATAGCCATCACCACTGTCTACTTCCAGAACTGTTTTCATAACCCCAAACAGAAAGTATACCCAGGAAGCAATAACTCCCGCTCCCCCCACCCCCCAGTCCCTGGTTACCTTTAATCTGTCTCTGTGAATATGCCTATTTCACATAATTGGAATCATATAACATTTGGTCTTTTGGGACTGGCTTGTTTCACTAGGAATAATGTTTTCAAGGTTCATCTACTTTGTAGCATACATCAGAACTTCGTTCGTTTTCTAAATATTCATTTATTTGGTTGTGCTGGGAGTTAGTTGCAGTACTCAAGATCTTCAATCTTCATTGCAGCACGTGGGTTCTAGTTCCCTGGCCAGGGATTGAACCTGAGTCCCCTGCATTAGAAGTGTAGAATCTTAGCCACCGGACTACAAGGGAAGTCCCCTTCATTCCTTTTTATGATTGAACACTATTCTGTTAAGTGGGTGTACCACCTTTTGTTCGTTCTTTCATCAGTTGATGGACACTTCGATTGTTTGCACTTTTGGCTACTGTGAATAATGCTGCTATGGACGTGGTGTACATGTCCATAGCATGTACATAGTATCTGTTTGGGTCCCTGTTTTCAATTTTGGAGGGGTAAATACCTAGAAGTGGAATTGGTGGGTCATATAGTAATTTCATGGTTATTTACCTGTTTTAAGTTTCAGTTTCCTCCTCTATAATGGGAATAACAGTGGAATATACTTCTTTTTTTTAAGTTTAATGTTTATCTATTTATTTTTAATCAGTTTATTTACTATTGGCTGGATCCTCATTGCTGTGCAGAGTTTCCTCTACTTGTGGGTAGCAGGGGCAACTCTAGTTGCAGCGGGGAGGCTTCTCATTGCAGTGGTTTCTCTTGTGGAAAACAGGGGATGTAGGCTTCAGTAGTTGCTGCACATGGGTGTAGTTGCGGCTTCCAGGCTCTAGAGCACAGGCTTAGGAGTTGTGGTGCATGGGCTTAGTTGCTCCATGGCATGTGGGATCTTCCTGGATCAGGGATCAAAATATCATGTCTCCTGCATTGGCAGGCAGATTCTTTACCGTTGAGTCACCAGGGAAGCCCTGGAATATGCTTCTTAAGGCTGTCGTGACTCACTAAGATAATGCATGTAAAAGTGCTGCCTGACATGAAGTGCATGCTCATTCAGTATTTACCAGAATCACTGTAGTGTCAAAATGGCCTTCCTTGTTTTTCTGAGTTCTATTAGTTCTTCCTAACAAACAATATCCTCATCTTCTGCTGCACACCTTCAGTGGCTCAATCAGTATTTATCAATGATTTGATAACACCAGGTAAAGGCACAGTCACAAGAGAGTGACAGTCATCACCAGGGTGACTCCTGGTGTCATTCATCATAGAGGAGGTGGATCCTCAGGCAAGTACCCGTGACCCGCTGAGTGAGACTCACAAAGGCGGGAGGTGGAATTTCTGCCCCTCTCTGGGGGTGATCTGCCAGTGTCTGTACTTTGAAGAGTATGGACTTGTATAAGGGCTGCTGGAATTAAGCAGGAAGGCAGCAGGGCAGGGAGCTCAGGATAAAGATGAATCCACAAGGCCTTGTAAAGCAGACTGTCTCGTTGCCCACTACTTCAACAGTTTAAATGTTGTTCAGACTTTTAAGGCCATTTGGAGTCAGAGGTATGAGCTGGAGTAGTCTTCATGAAAGCAAGGGGATTTGAGCTAAGCCTTGAAGGGGAGATTAGGGTGACTTAATAGGCAGGGGCAGGGGGAGAGGGGAGGAGAGGCACTGTTGGAAGGGAGAGCAGCAGAGTCAAAACACGTGGAAGCTAGAAGAGGCACAGTGTGTGGGATGGTCTTCATTGTAGACGACGTGGGTGTGCCAGGGGCAGTCCCTGAGAAATAAGATCTGACAGGTACATTGAATCAGGCTCTGGAGGCCTGAATTGGAAAGCTAGGGAGGGTGGGGAGCTATTGAAAGTTCCATAGCAGGAAAGTAACAGTGAAGAGCGAATCTGGCCTCAGTGCTAGGCAGACTGGATGAAATCTTGTATAACATTTGATAGCTGGGTGGGAAGTGGTGAGGCCTAAGATTCAAGCAGGGCCCTAAATGGGGTAGAGAAAAATGAAAGGACTTTTTGTCCCTCAAGCTAATGCCAAGGTGATTCTCTGATATTTCACATCCAAACACAAACAAGAAACAGGAATTTTAAAAAACTGTTGCTTCACATCCTTATCACTATATTATAAAATTATACATGATAATTACAAAAAATCTGGAGAATGCAGATAGCTAAAAAATAAAAATTTCAAATATATTTTTTAACTTAATGATGCTATATATATTTTTTGGCATGGATAGTTTTCTATGTTATTAAAAAGTTTTCTACAGCATTATTTTTAATGGCTGCATATTATTTCATTGTCATATGTATTTAATATGTACAACATAGCTTAACTGACCCTGTATTGTATTATCGGACATTTTAGGTTGTTTCTATTTTTGTCTTTGTTGTTGATATAAACAACACTAAGGAATAACCTTGTGGTGAAAACTTTGGATATGACTGTTATATCCTCTTAGGATAGAATCCAAAAAAGTGGAATGGTTGGATATGGATATGGATACATATGGATATGGATACATATTTTTAAAGACTCTGACAAATACTGAATTATTATTAGATGCATTATATTAGTAGAATTCTTAGTATCCTGCCATTCCTAGAATACTAAGTTGATTTAGTTGTGTCCAACTCTGTGCAACCCTATGGATTATAGCCTGCCAACCTCCTCTGTCCGTGGGATTCTCTAGGCAAGAATATTGGAGTGGGTTGCCATGCCCTCCTCCAGGGAATCTTCCCGATCCAGAGATCGAGCCCATGTCTCTTTTATCACCTGCACTGACAGACAAGTCCTTTGCCACTAGCACCACCTGGGAAGCCCTAGAATAATACTAACTTATCCAAAGACTTGTCTTTTAATACAGAATTGGATTCTGTTTGTAATTTACTTAGGATTTTCTTTCTGTTGCATCTCTGGTCATATGAAAAAATAGGTTGTAGTTTTCTTATTTATGGATTTTCAAGTTTTAGTATTGTGATTTTTCTATTTATGTAAAGTTATTGGAGAAACTTTCAATCTTTTTCTATGTCCTAAAGCAGACTAAATAGCATGGGAATTATCTATTTTTTGAAACTTTAAAGAAAGGTGACCGTGAGAAGTGTCAGGCCCTACCACTTTTGGGTAGAGATAATTCTTTTCCAGTTTCTTCAGTAATTATTGATCTCCTCAACTCTTTGAGACTTCCCGAGTCCATCTGGCAATTAATATTTCTTAATTTTTTTTTTCTATTTTTTTCTTGACTTGTCAGAATTTTTATTAATCTTTTCAATGAATCTCTCCTTGGGTTTATTCATCAAGTATTTAATTGCTGTGGTCTTATTTCATTCTCAGTGAAGATAAATGATCAATGCAAAACATGTATAACTTTATACTAGGATTCAGACTGAAAGCTTGTATGAATTCTGCTTCCCCTGCATCCCTGTTTTCCTTGTTCCTTGTCAAAAAACATAAGACCAATTATCTACTAGCACTTATGACCTGGGAACTCTATTCTTAGGTGTATAGCCAACAGAATGTGTACATATGTTCATGAAAAGGCATGTCCAAGAGTGGTCATAGCAGCACTGTTTATAATACTCCTCAACTAGGAAAAACCCAAATATTCATGGATTGTAGAATGGATGGCCTGTCATCCATCATAAAGTGGGGGTATGATATAGACATGAGAATGAATGAAGTGCAGTTCCATATACCAATATGTATGAACTGCCCAAACATAATACTGAGTAAAGAAACCAGGCTTATAAGAATGCATCCAGTGTAATTCTACTTATATAAAATTCAAAAGCAGATCAAACTAGTCTATGGTTATAGGAGTTGGGATAGTGGTTATCCTTGCAGGATGGTTCATGGCTGAAAGGTGGGGATTCTGAGGGACAGGTGATGTTCTGCTTTTTGATCTGGTTTCTCGTAACACAGGGAACTTCACTTCAAGTGGGACACCAATTATTCATATGTACGTTATACTTCAATGAAAAGTTTACTTTAAACACAACACTGTAAATCAACTATACTCCAATATAAAATAAAAAATTTTAAAGTAATAAAATATACATGAAGAAAAAAATTTACTTTCAAAAGTTGGGATGTCTATGGAGTTTGTGATCTCCTGAGATTGCGTGCAACATTTGCATGTACCTATAAATATATTTTTGTCTGGAGAGAGGATTCATAGTTTGCATTAACTTCTTACAACAGTGACTTCATCATTGACTCAGGAATTCCTGTATCCTCACTTAGTCCTACCTTAATCTTGCTTTGTCAGTCTCCTCCTTCATGTATCCTCCTATCTCTTCTCTCCCTCTCTCTGAAAATTTTCCCCTGACTGCTCTGGTATTCTCTCTTTCTAGAACAAGCATACTTCCTTACTTTCC